TGCCCCTTGTGTGCCGTTCCTCATTTGGCAAGGGCGGGTTTACTGTATTTGCCTTGTATTGAAACATTGATTTTGTCAACAATGAGGAGAATACTTGATCAGTCCATCTCCGTGTGATCTAAAAGGGCTAAGAAGTGCCCACTTTATCGGAATCTGTCCTGTCGCTGATCTTTGCGTCAAAAATATCGCTGGAAACTTGATTTTGGCGAAATTTCCTGCGAGCAAACTTTGTCTTTGTTCCGTTGTTGTCACCGAGTCCATGGAGCATTACCTGTCTTTTGACCACTGGACGCCATCCAGCTATCCCTCGCCTTTTGTGCGCTTTTTTCCATTCGTCAAAGGCGGATTTACCTGATTCAATTCTTGGGATCTATTCCCTGTGATTGAACTGATCAGTGGATCTTCAATTATCTTTGTATCGGTGTCTGCTATCTCGCAAAGATCCTGTTGTTATATCCTTGGAGTCCACTTCCGTCTTGTGACTTGGTGAGTCCATATCAATACACTCGTGTCACACTTGGTCTTTCAGACTGGTGCTCTCGTCGATTGCATAGGTTGTTACCGTAAACCGGTTCACATCTTTGCTGCTTATCTATTACATTCAATTCTTCCTCCGAACCCTCTCCGTCGTGACCGTTGTCATGCGCTGCTTAAACTCGCAGTGTCCTCTTTCCGACGACTCTGTGGTCATGTGTGGTAGAAGGGTGTCTAGAAACGGTTGCAGATTCGTCCGGGGGCATGCAGTGCGGTATCTGTAACCGTTGGTTCCATGAGGCCTGTACTGCTTTGGATCGTAGATAGTATGCTCGCCTGTCCAGTAGCGAGAGTTTACTCTACCGTTGTAATGACTGTTGTATGCGCAGGACTGAGCGTTACACGCCAGTAAAGAGCAGACCTGGAAAGTTTGCTGTCTCTGATTGCCTCGCTAGACAGGAAAGTTGAATGGATTGTGAAGGGCATAGAACGTTCAGCTCTTCTCTGTCAGGAGACAGTAGAAGACATTGGCAGGTTGTCAGACCCTGCATCTGTTTGTTCACTGCCGAATGTCAGTTTACCTGTTAGCAACGAACCCTCAGATAGCATGTTTGATTCGGCTTGTCAAAAGAAAGCGAGATGGTTTTAAAAAAGCGGCAAAACTCAAGGCAGACATGAGAGATCCGTCGGGTGCCCTATCTCCCCTCAAATTCTACTACTACAGAATCGTTACAGCTGGAAACGTCTACGAGATTAGAGTTTATAAAAACGGACACTAAACTGAAACCACCGAGGTCCATGGAGCGTTCGATAAATACTCCGCGTCGCGGGGACTCCTATACCGACTGCAGTGTTATTTGCAGAAACGCCACTGAGTCATCTGCTGTTCTCCGAAAAGACCGTTTGCTAGATGACCTTCAGTGGTTTAGAATATGTGTTACCAATCTCCCGTCTCCCGGCTTCCCCGGCGTGACTGTGCGCAAACTAACCAGACTCGGTAACTTGCCAGCTGACAAGTCTTGCGTTCGCTTGCTGCGAGTTGTTCTGTCTACTCCGGAGGAGCGCCAAGCACTTTTGCGTTTCGCCTTTAAGCTCAAGGGCACTGGTGTCCTTGTGCACCCAGATCTCCCTTTGGCAGATAGGCTGAAATTGCGGGAAGCTGTGAGAGATCTTAAAGCCCGTTGTGAAGCAGGAGAAAAGGGTCTCCGCTTGGTGGATTTTCAAGTGATGAGCCGGCGGTCCAATTCCGCCCTACCAGAGCCGGTTCTGGTGGCGCAAGATCCCGAACTCACAATGTTAAATCCCTTAAGGAGATCTTAAGCAATGTGTGTAGCCTGCGAAACAAGCTGTGCGAAGCCGGCGCCCTTGTCGACGACTGCCGTCCAGATGTTCTCGCATTCACTGAAACGTGGTTGTCCACCGACGTCAAGGACAATGAAGTGTGCATGCCAGGCTACGCACTGCTGAGATGTGACCGCACCTCTGATCGGCGCGGAGGTGGCGTTGCTTTGTACGTTAACTCTGCACTTACTGCCTTTAAGACGTATAGTTTCCGATCACCAGACGGTGATGTTGAGGCACTCGCAGTTAACCTGTGTATTGCTTCCGCGCAACTTAAAGTTGTGCTGGTCTATACAAGCCCCGACAGCGTTGCAAAGGGGATTGGTGATTTCATCCGCGGACATTCGGCAAATAGGTGTTTAGTGATGGGGGACTTTATTCTTCCCGACGTTGACTGGCAGAATTTTTCTTGTGACGCTGTTAGGTGTTTGGCTACCGAGCTTTTCCAGCTAGCCTTGCATGCTTCCCTGCACCAATTTGTCGATCGGTTTACTAGATTCATGATGGGCCAAAACCCGTCCCTCTTGGACTTCGCTAAATCCATTGATTTTGTCATGGATATTGTATACAACCCCCCTCTCGGTGCTAGAGACCATGCATGCCCCTCATCTAAGTGCGCCCTTAGTCGTCAGACTAATGATCATCCCGACCGAGTTCCAAACATATGGCGCGCGGACTTTCAGACAATGAAAGCCAAGGCCGCAAAGTCGCCTTGTGTTATCTTGGGAAGTGACGACATTCAAACGGCCTGGGACAGATGTAAATCATACTTGAGTGAGCTCACTCTCCCCAATATACCACTATCTGGCAGGGAGAAAACTAGGGCAAAGCCAATCTGGTTTGATTCTGCCGTATGCAAACAAATTAACAGACGTGTCAGATGTTGGCTACATACTTATCTGCTCCTTCATCATGCACCTTCAAGTGATATCGTGAGGCAAGAAATGTTTGCAGGCAGCATCTAAGAGGTGCCCGTCTACAGCATGAAGTAGAGCTCGCTCGTATAGCCTCATCAAAGCCGAAACGCTTCTTCCCGTATGTCGAAAGGCGAAGCAGCATAAACTCGTGCATCCCAGTGTTGTTTGGCCCTGACGGCACTGCTACTGTCACGGATCACGGAAAAGCCTATTTGCTGGGATGACAGTATGCTGGGGTTTATGCTCGAGGGTCACAGCCGCTGCATATCAGCCTCCAGGCAAAAGTTCCTGAGGGTTCCCACTTGGAGGAAGTTTCTATAACGAAGAATCAAGCGCTCCGGGTTCTGAGGGAATTAAATTCCAATAAAGCTGCCAGTGGGGACGCTATTCATCCCAAACTGTTGTGCGAGTTAACTGATGAACTTTGCCGTCCGATTACGCAACTTTTTGTGAAGTCTCTACGAGGCTGCTCTCTACCCAAGGACTGGAAGGAGGCTATTGTTCGTTCCATTTTTAAGTAAGGTGATAAGCACCCTGATAATTACAGACCGGTCAGTTTGACCAGCGTGCTGGTCAAGTTGTTGGAAAAGCTTGTGAGGGACGCTCTCGAAGGACACTTGAAAGAGTTTGAATTGCTTAATCTTTCTCAGCACGGCTTTCATAAAGGCTATTCTTGCCTTACTAACTTGTTAACCGCTCGTGAACACTGGGCCGAAGCCGTTGATTGCGGGAAGGCAGTGGACGTGCTGTTCACGGACTTTTCCAAAACGCTCGACACCGTTCCACATTCGCGCCTTTTGTACAAACCGAAGTCCTACGGTATTTCTGGACCAGTATTACGATGGATTTCAGCTTTCCTAATCGGAAGGAAAATGTGTGTGGGTGGGTTCAAGCCTGTCCTTCCGTCAATGTTCTCAGTGGCGTTTCGCAAGGTTCGGTCCTTGGCCCCCTTCTCTTCACTTTATAGGTTAATGACCTACCTGATGAATTGGGTGTGCCATCCCTAAGGTTTGCAGATGACTTGAAACTCTGGTGCATGATAGACGATCCGATTGGCCCACTGACCCTACAGAGGGCTCTGGATAGACTTTGGCACTGGTCAATTTTACGGCAGTTGCCCGTTAATTTAGCGAAATCTTCAGTTTTACGCGTTGGTCCGAATGACCAGCCGACGAGTTATTTGCTTGGCGGCAACGAGGTACCGCGAGTTCAACTCCAATCTGACCTCGGTATTTTGATGTCATCTGACTTTAAGTCCAGTGAACACTAGACGACATCTGCTCGCGAAGGTTCCATGTTGTGGATAATCCGCAGGTCATTCGGGATCATGACCACCGGCTTTCGTAAGACTGCACTTGGAATACTGCGTTCAAGCTTGTCCTCATGCCTGGTTCGTGATAAGATGGCAGTTGAACGAGTCCTACGGTCCGGGACGAAAATGGTGCACGGATTAAAGCTGACGTACCCGGAGAGGTTACGTTAAATGTTTTTCATGTATTACAGGCGGCTTCGATGCGACTTGATCCTCACATATCGTATACGGATGGGTCAGATTGGTCCTGATTTGACTGGACTGTTTCGCCTAACTCGAGCGCCAACCCTTCGTGGCCACCCATTAAAGTTGCACGAACCTTAGTCTGACCGGGTCTGGGCAGCTTTTCGGGTTATCGCGTAGAGTTATAACTTATTGGAACGCACCGCCTGCAGATGTCGTGATGGCACCGATGGCGAAAGAGTTCGAGCATCAACTTGACGTACTCGGTCTGCAGTTTAAAGCCTTCCCCTTCATGTCTTAAACTTTACTCGTCTATTACGGACTATGCTTCTTTAACACTATAATTTACAGCGTAATATTGCCTACGAAATTCGATAAGCTTGGCTTCTCTGTTTCATTTCCTTTACTGACACTACTGCTTTCTTTTATTCTTCACGTGGCCTGCACAGCGAGGACTGCTAGTGCAGGGCACGTGGGCATGGTTTGGTTGACCAAGGGAACCCTGTGTGTTGATTTGGCTCTCCTTTGGCACATTAAGGCACCGGTTTCCCTGTTGGACCAACGACGTTTTCGAAGTTGGAACATTCGTCGGATTTTCCTACTGTTCCGGTCCCACTTGAACTTGAGCCGGCCGCACAACTAAACCAGGCAACTGAATTCAGAAATAGGACAAACGACAATCGGTTAAAACAACCAAATAAAGAATGCTAAAGACAACTGAGGTCAATCATGTTAAGTAATGGGTGGATAGAACATCAGACATGAAAACTTACTCCATACAAATAGGGGTGCAAGGAGGAGGCACCACGAGATCGATCCGTGAAGCGTTTGTACTGGTCCAAAATTGTTATATCATTATCTTCTTCATAAGGAACGTAAAAGGCATTAGGTATGGATGGGCAAAGGGAATCGCCGACGTGAAAATATTCGTGTGGAAAACCGTCGGGATTGTAGGTTAGATTACCGTCTGGAACGATAGACGATGCGGGATCACATGCAGTAATGCCAGAATTTTGGGGACCCGCTAGTTCTTCAAAAAAATTAGCAAACACACCACTTCCTCCAGCCAGATTTTGTCGGGTAGTGTTAGCAGTAATCGCTGCTTGGGGGTGTTGAAACTCAAGCCGGTCCTCCAGAGGGGCGGCATTCCTTAGCCTGGAATCCTCAATCCCAGTGGACATGCGTAACACAAAGCAAACGTGTTGGTGAAAGTGGCACACGTAATCTTTTCCGCATAACGCTTTAGGTAGGAAGAGAATCGGTTGCCATTGTCAAAAGGCAGATCGAGGAAAATCGCTTAGAGTACTGTGTGCTTCTAAACTGGTAAAAATTCAAGGTCAAGTTCAAGTTCAAGCGGTGTTGCACCAATCTGTAATGAGTATACATACATAGTTTGCGTCTCCTAACAAGTTATAACAGCACAAACTGTTAAATAATAATGTCCGCCGGAAGTTTAAATTCAGGTAAGACTGGAACGATAGGATGAATCCCGTAACTGTTCCCTTTTGCTTCATTGGGGTTCATTGGGGCAGTAGAGAGCAGGAGGGGAGATTCCTTGTCAGCTCCATCGCTTCCTGATCATTGGTGGGATGCTCTTCATTGCGCAATGGGAACTCCGCAGAGGCCCTCGCACCCGTAGCTGAAGCAACAGGATCCCGGCATATTCAAAAGGTGTGAATCAAGTAGTCGTTTGAAGCAACCTTCCGTCTGTGCATACACGACTGGCGGTGGTAACCGGTTCAAGTTATTCACAACGCGAGTGGATTGAGCAAGAATGGACCGCACTTTGAGCCTCCGTGGCTTGAATATTTTCTATTGGTGGCCTCTAGTCGAACTCCCGAGGTTGAGATGGAAGGATTCCTGCAACTCTCTCCCTAGTTCTCCCCTGATAATAAGACGGGTAAAAAGCAAGTGCCCACACCGGCTGCGGTAATCCATAGAAAACATATTCAATGCCGAAGCCGAAGGGGATACGACAGGTCACTTAACTCGGAGACAAACTTCGATCCACGCCTACGGACCTTTTCGATCGTATCGCGCTCAAATTTGGAAACGGGGTAGGCAGCAGGGAGGCTGTATTCCAAAATCGGGCGCCCATGCGAGGTGAACAGAAGTCTAAAATGTTCCGGTATCAAGCAACGGAAAGCTCTTCGGATGGCGTGAAACATCCTGTAGGTAGCGGCAACCATCCTCATGGTGTCCTGAGTGGATCGTAAGTCCGGGGAAACAACCACGCCCAGATCCCTCTCTGAAGTGACATTTTTGAGTGAGAACTGGTAAGCGCTGAATGGTTCAGGAGCGCCGGTAGGCAGGACGGAACATTTGTCTTGACTAATGGATAAGCGCCACTGAATCAAGCGTCACTGTAGTCGATCAGTATCCTCTAGCGAGGATATCTCCTTCCATAGCTTTAGATCATCCGCATAAATCAAGCAATCCGATTGTAGCTCCGACGGTAGCTCGTTGATGAAGATGTGGAAGAGTTCGGGGCCGATGACGGAGCCCTGTGGGACACCGCTGGTCATATGCACAAGATCGGAATACGTTTCGTTCATTCTCACCATGATGGAACGAGTGCGTATAAAATCAAAAAGCCAAGACAGAAAGTTTCCAGAGACACCGATTCCTCGGAGTTTGTAGAGCAGCTGTTCATGCGAGACCTTATCAAAGCTTTAATGAAGTCCACGAACACAACATCCAGGCATTTGCCAACATCCAATGAATTTGCCCATTTTTCACTAGCCATAAGCAAGTTGGTAGCGCAGGAGCGAGCTTTGTGAAACCCGTATTGGGCACTGGATATCAGATCCAACAGCTCGAGATGAAGCCGAAGCGCCCGTTTCAGGACCCGTTTTATGATTTTGCACATTATCGAAGTAAGGCAGATTGGCCGGTAGCTAGCTGGGTCTTGCCGGTTCCCTCCTTTGTATATGGGCTTGATGATGCCCATCTTCCAAGCGGTCGGGAGAAGTCCGGACTGAAACGATCGACGGAAAACCTGCGTGATAGGTGAAGCAACGTATTGGGCCACAGTCTTGAGGAACAAAGGATGCAAGTCGTCAGGATCAGTCGATGAATAAGGATCCAACTCACAGAGAAGGCTCAACATGACGTCAGGGTTTATATCGACGTGCTTTAACAGCGAAGGGGGTGCACACTGTTCTGTCGGAGAACAACGCCGATGTTGAATACACTGATGAGTAGTGCGGCGCCAGGAGGCCGGCTTTGTCGATGTCTTCGTGAACTGGATCCTCATGCTCGGAAGAACACAGGACAGGGACCCCACTGCCTTCTCTAGTGCTCCGTTTGAGGTGGGAGAAATTCGGCTTAAGAGTGTTTCTGAAATGTGTGGCTAGGGCGAGTTCATATTGTTGACGCTTCTCACGTTTTTGCAGGGTACAGGTATTCCTAACCGTCTTGTAACCGATGTAGTCATGCTCTGATCGTGTGATCCTAAAGCGGTCCCACAATTTACGTCTTCTGTTCATTAGGGATCTCAGTTCACGATCGATCCACGGAGGGCCTCTAGAGAGCGGTCGCATTTTGGAAATTGGGACAACTTGTTCACTGAATGATGTGAGCTTGGAGTACAGAAGATTCCAGGTACCGTCCAAGTTGAGATGCTCGGGAATATACCAATCCACAATACTTGCAGCCGTTTTACGACGAGGGGCCTCAGAAGGCCAGAAAGTTCGACGGACGGCACATGAATTGTGAATGGTAAAGCGACGAGTCCATTGGAATGAAATAGTACAATGATCGCTTTTACCAATGGTTGCAATAAGGTTAGGTCCATGACGTCTGACTGCGCTGGGGAGAGCACAAGATCCAGGATATGAGGCGACTGGCCGTCGAGAATAGGAGTCGGCATGAACACATGTTGGTACAGGCTGCAGTCGAGAACGGTATCAAGGAAGGCGGCATCAAAGTAATCAGGTGGACGATTGCAAAGAAAGAGGTCCCAGTCGATATTAGGAGCATTGAAATCTCTCAGAATAAGCCAATTCTTTCCCGCACCCTGCTTCTTAATCAGTACCAACAGGCGAGCTTACGCGCCCAGTGGCGCTCTGTAGATGACGCCAAGCAAAGATTTACACCCGTCATGAATGCGAAACCAAAGGGCATCGAAACCGCTGTCATTGTCACACGAGACCGCAACTAGATGGGACTTCAGATCCGTCCTCCAGTATAGTGTTACGCCGCCTCCCGACTTCCTCCGATGACGATCGGCCGGAGAAAGGTGGTATCCAGGGATAGATACTTCAGCGTCAATGAGGTCAAGGAATAACCGTGTTTCAATGAAGGCCGGTAAATCAGGACAAACATCTACGGCAAGCGTCTGGATCTCATTAAATCTTTTCACAGACTACGGACCTTAGTGAACATTGGACCTTGTTGAGCGGGTTGTCGATCCAGGAGTTGACAGTGATGCACCGACTTCTTGATAAGTCTACCACGAATACACCCAAAAGCACCCTGGTCCACCAATTGAGTGCCCATCTTCCTTACATTAGGTGTCCCTGTTACTTCCGTTACGTGAAGTAAGTAAGTGAGCAAGAAAATTCGAAGGTAAAGAGTATGGGAAATCAGTTAAAAGAAGAGAATATTACCAGTGGTGAGAGGAAGTACAGAAAGTAGCATCGAAGATGCGCGCCTGTCGCGACTGTGGATACGGGCCAACTACAACAGTTTGCGTTTCATTGAGAGTATTGAGTTCACTGCGTTGTAGAGAGTATGAGAGAAATCCACTGTCACTTCCATCGATTCCTTATCATGCTGGGTTTGCTGCGTGTCGTTACGTAACTACGTTCCTAGAGAGTTCGTCGCAACTGCAGTGACATCCGCAATATTCCAGCATTCTCAGCGAATATTTGTCTAGCATTCATTGATACATCCCTCAGATGGCGCGTCTGCCACTTCGTCTGGTCGACCGTTCCAAGCATTTACCACCCTAGTGGATAGGGTGACGCCCATGCGTATGCTGTATACTCTTTGCTTAAATAGTTCCCATGTGTGACCTCGTGTGGGATAGACAAGGATGAGCCGGAAGAATTGTTGTAACTCACTTCCAAGTTCCCCGCGGAAGATGCGCCTAGTGACCGGGTGACAGCAGAGTTCCAGGGAGAATAGATTCAGCTGCTGGGGTCGTATGGGGTACGGGAGACCACGTAGCTCCAGCAGCTTTCGATGCACGTCTCTCAACCTTTTCCAGCACAACGCATTCAAACTATGAAAGTGGATGGATGGCTGGCAGACCATATTTTAATACTGGAAAAACGTACGAAGTGAACAAAGGTCGAAAAATCTCAGGAGTCATTAGAGCGAATGAGTTTTGTAAGGCACCCACCAGTCTCCTTTTATTGCCCGCCCTCTTCAACATACCCTGCGTTGTTCTAAGGTCAGAAGTCAAGATAACTCCGAGACCTTCCTCGTGCATATTATTCCTGAGTATACAACCAACCAACGTGGTATGCGCCGTATGGTTCAAGGCTACCCATTGGGAGAACAGTTCATTTATCTTGGTTTACTTGCAATTTCCACGTGACGGTCCATTCGTTTAGCTGGGCTGGAGCCCCCTGTAATCCCCCGCAACCGCAAGGCTGGAAACTGTTGGCCATAGCTTGCGGTCATCGGCGTAAATCAAGCAGCCGCGGCGAGGTATTTTGATGACAAATAGGGTTGCTGAGAAGGTTCATTTGGTACAGTAAATGAGTCCCTGTTGCCTACCTAGAAAAACGACGCCGTTGACCCTCTAGCTGGTAAAACGGAAAATGTAAAACACACAAGGTAGTTGCGCGTTGCAACCGAAACGAGCGCCAAGCAAAAGTGAAGATCAGCAAAGCAAGCATTCGAACTCTGCAATCTGTACAGCAAACCACGCCGGTCGCCAAAGGGAAAAATGAACGGATGCTAGTTAGATTTTTACACATGCAATCCTGGGAAACATAGACTGCTACGTAGCCCTTCCCAAAACGGACTGTTAGCAGTTTTCTTATGCACGTTAAGACTGTTCGACGCGGGCCACTTTTCTGTGAGACCAGTTTGTGAAACTTGCTGTAGCTGCTGGGGGAGCATCTTACCTAAGGACCCTAGCGGGATCCCGCCCTTGTCCTCCCTACGGTATAGAAAAGCTAAACGAATTTTGGTGAGTGGCAGTTCATAAATTCCGCGTAGCTGGTTGAGCAGGCACTTTGTTGCGCTTCTGGTTAAGTTGCGAGGAAGCAGGGAACATTAAAACCAAAAAGCAACTAAACGATGGAGAGTACTTGGAATGCAACATAAGAAGGACTAGGGTAAATTCATAGCACCACACAATAGCGCGCGAAGCAGAATCCTTGCAAAGCT